ATAAATTTGATCGATCTTCCGTTGGATCTTTAGGATTGTAACGATTTTGTTCGAATGTTGCTAAGCAACCATAACACAGTTGATGACACTAGAGTCAAAAAGCATCATCATTCTTATGAACATAAATATGATAAGAACAGAATTTTCATCTGAAAATATCTTAATAAATAAATGATTTCTATTAAGTTATCAAATTGTTTTGTCTTTTTGATAGTATAAAGTGATTTGTTTCCCCTTCCCAGATTGAAAAGAAGATGAGCGTAATAGTTTACTACCCGCTTTTATAGAATCGGTTCCTGGAAAGTTTGGATACCATTATTGCCTATAACCTTTTATCACATACGAAACCTTGCGAGTCTCTCGTTGTTCTATCTCTATTTCCAAGGCATGTGTTCTGAGGAACTACATTCCTTGAACCCAAAAGCCCTGACTTTTACAACTGGGACCCGCCATATCACATAAACAAATGTGAATCATCCCCAATCCCTTTCGTGTTCCATTAGTAAGAATTAAGTTCCAATCGGACAGCTTCTTCCCAAGAACAGCTGCTTTGTGGAATGGACTCCCAGCAGGATGCTTTCCCAATCCCTACAATCTTAAGCCTCTTCAAGTCTATAGAGTTAATCGTTATCTTGCCTATGAACTTCACTCCTTATCATTACGCTTATACAACACCATAGAGTAACCCTTTGCCTTGAGTGGCACTTAGGTCTTGTATTGGGTAAACATTAGTATGAAAAACAAACTTCATGCATATAAATATATACATAAACATAGCTTGTCTGGCTATGTCAGTTACTACTGAAAAGTGAGTTCGATCCTCACTGGATGCCCCCATGCTTTCGGTCTTGTGCCACATTTAAGCTACGCTTGGAAAATCGCTATATACATAAACATACATGCATATAAATATATACATAAAGATACGCTATGAACTTGCAGTAGCCCGGATTTCTCAATATCAGTATTTGTCAAAAATTTGTCTGATTTTAGTGTGAAACAATTTAGTGAGTGGTTTTGAGAAATAAATGTATTTGAAAAAATTGAAAGAAGAATGATATGTATAAAACCAAAATAGATAGGCACGTGTTCTTGGAAAGAAACAGTGCACAAATACAAAAAAAAAAGGAAAAGAACGACAAAATCGAGGCATCCGTTCAAAACATTGGGTCGGAACTAAAGTTCGTAGCGTTTTTAAGTGAATTTCGAAGACAATATTTACATAGATTTAGTCATCCACCATCTTTCTCCATCTTCGAGATAGTTTCATGATTCCATCTTTCCAGAACTTAGCATCTTTCTGAATGATCAACTATTCTAAGTGGTTTTACAGTTTTCCAGAGAACTGAAGGTGTTCCCATTAAGAGAATTTTGTAGAGAACATTGTTCTAGGTATGACAATAAACTACATCCGACGGCAAGTCTTCTGATTGTGAGGTTTTAAGGAGCGTTGAACCACATCTTAATTGCTGATGTTCCCAGGTCTACCCTAACCCAGATTAGTAGCACCTGCTAGAATCTCAGTTATGTGCAAATAGCTAACCCCCAAAATGGAGTCAAAACACTATGAAAGAATCAAAATACATTTTTGAAGAAAAAATAAACAGCAATACATTTTTGTATATTTTGTATTAAGGAATTATTAATGCTCCCAAGAAAAATATCTTCGGCACCAAATGACCCATAAGATGTTGATATACCGTTAAACAAACCAAGCCCAAACATAGAAACATTACTTGGCAACTCAACAAAATGATCCATTCAGTTCATCAATTCTTACGAACAAATGACATCTCTTATTTGTTTTTAGATGAAGCATTGTCAATCAATATTAATTTTAAACTTTGATTAGTAATTTTATTTCATCTTCATCGTTTACTTGTAAAAATTATCTCAAAACCTTGTTTCAATTAATATTAACAAAGAACTGTATAACAGACACAGTGAGTGATGAGTTATAACTAGCAATACATTAATTAATTAAATCATCCCCAGATACATTGTGTTTTGTACTTTTAATGGCATAATTTGAAGGGGTTAGTTTCATATTAAAGTCAAGTTATATCTTGATAGGAAAAAGAAAACTCCGATGAAAATGAAATGTAAAAAATAAATTGAAAGAAAATTACTAGACCGAATTAACGATTAATATACAAAAATGACTCAGAGCCCACGAGAAAACTCTCCTCCAGGCCAATCGCCTTGCCGCTGACAGCGGAAGGAAAAACTAAACTATACAAAAATGAGACAATTTTTTGACTCATTCTGTGACATACTGTGTCGTCAGTGTTCGAAACAAAGCAAAAGCCACGATTTAAAATCATGTTTTCGATCAAGGTAGTCTTCTAAATCTCATTTGCTCTTGTGCTGAGTTTAGTCAACTTCAAGAATCTAAGATATGATTTTAGTATGGCACCTTCGATAACGTTATCACGTCTAACGTCACTTCCGCTAAAAAGTGTGCTTCCAATATTAGCCCTTTTTATTCCGGACTTGTCCAACATCCGAGGCATTGCAACTCACACGGATGGAGGTGATCAGATCAAATCGTGATAAAGAGACTTTATTTCTTTTTCGTCTTTCCATTCTCTCGTTCCATTCAATATCTTGGGTAAAGAAAGCTGACATCAAGCACTTGTTTTTATTACATTAGTCAAATATCGTAACCGGCTTCTCACTTTTATTTGCAAAAGCTATGATTTTGAATGCTGAATTTAATGGCAGGCAGACCGGCTCTTTCTACTTGACTTATTTCCTTCATTTTGTCATTTGTCTAACTCGGGTAAATTTAATAAATATCTATTCCCAAATATTTCATTTAATGAATGAAAAACTTAAAAAAAAACTATACATGATGATTAACGTGACGAGACATTGTGAATATGAAGTGTTCTTAATTAAAGTATCTACCAGATTGTTAGCGTTGTCTATGTCTTTTTTTTAAGGAATGGATGTCCTGTTCAAGATTAAAGAGAGAAACCTTTAAGTACAATTTCGCTTTAATGAACTAGCGCACAGGTAAACTTTATCATATCCAGTATCTGTTAAATTCAATTCGGAAATTTAAATATCTTCAGATTGGGATCAAAGTGGAGTATCTGTTCTAATTTGAGACAGTCCCAGAGATTCCAACTCTGCGGCAACACATTCTTTATTTCACTAAGACAGGTGGCGGTTGGTGTAATACTGACGCCAGCGTGACAGTAGTCGAGAGGACTGGATAAGTTTTGTTCTTTGCCCATATATACGCGTCTGGGCATCCCACATAAAACAGAGCTTGTGTCATATCCTACTTTAGTGTGTTGAGCGATAAGCATATAACTTCGTCCATGGTTTATGCTACCATCTCTAAACTGTCCCACAGAGCATGGGGACTTGATGGTATCCCTGCTATAGCCATTAAGAAATGTACTCCTGAACTGGCTCCTATTCTCTCTAAACTATACGATAAATACCTTGATTTCCTGCTTGTTTGTAATCCTCTTCTGTAGTTTCAGTCTTCGAGAACTCAGGCGAACCGTCTGATCCTTTTAACTACCGGATCAATAGACTTCTACATTTTTTGGCAAGGTACTAATCAATCCTGAATTGGTTAAGCATCTCAACTCGCAGGGTCTTCTTTCGGATAAGGAATATGACCAGGTCAACTCCTGGTGTATTGAAGATTATTGCTGAAAGAATCTATCAAACTTTAGATAAGAATGGTAAAGTTCGGACCGTTGCTTTAGACATCTCGAAGGCATTTGACAGAGTTTGGCATACTGGTCTTCTTCATAAGTTGGTATTATATGGTATTATTATTCAATCTTTCTTATCACAAAATGAATGTTGTCTTGAATGGCGACTCCTCTATATCTCTTTTGTATTAATAATTGTGTTCCCCAGCGCGATATCCTTGGATCCACGTTGTTCCTAATTTTCATCAACGACCTTCCTTCTCAACTCGATATCTATGCTGATGATACAACTATTTACTCTTGTATTAATAGTAAATCTGATCCTTTCGATAAGGTCAAATTAGCAGATGATCTAAAAAATGGCCTACAATTTGCTGTTAACTGGAGCAAGAAATGGCTTGTTAATTTTAACGCCGCCAAAATTAAACTACTCTCTTTTAATTGAATAATAAGAACCCTTTTTGCCTTTCATCAGCATAGCTGATGCTAACCTCCAGGGAAGTTGGTTCACTATGTCGTGCTAGACAATTTTTTTCTCTTGGAAACTATCTTGCGTATTTATAAGTACCATTCGTTCATGCATTGAATATTGCTGCCACATCTGTTATTGTGCTTCTGCTAAATATTTAGAGATTCTTGATAAAATACAAAGAAGAATCTGCAATGTTATTGGTCCTGACCTCACATCTCGGCTTCAGTCACTTTTCCACGGCCGTAACATAATTTCCTTGTGGTTTATCTATAAATACTTCCATGGTAATTGTTCTGGTGAACTTCCCTCTTTGGTACCTAGATTTTATGAATTTAAGCGGTTATAGATTGGCGGCCAGGTACATCTAACCACTTCAACTGTAAAATGACTAATTTTATATTTGAAATGACTAGCTGTAACCGCAAATTCTATGCTAACCGTTTCTTCTCTCACACTTCTTGTTTGTGGAACTCTCTTCCAGGTTCTTTCTTTCTAGTCAAATTTCATCTTTAAAAATTTAAATACAAAATCGTTATCTTTTGTCTTAATTTCTGTTCTTTTATTGTTTTCTCTACTTAATAATAGTTTTTCTCATGCTTTCACGCTCATTAACACCCCCCCTTGCGTTTAGTGGCTTTATTACCTTGCTTAGGGTGAAACGATTAAAAAATCGTATTGGGTAATCAATCAATTAACTCAAATTTTCGGCTTCAACGTGCTTATTCGAAGTCGCTATAAAAAGATTCCAGAATTAAAGAAACAGTTATGTAATTTAATTAAAAAATATCGAGCAGAGTTTATGAACATTAAATTTCTTTAAGTTTCTTTTAAACGTTTTATGAATAATTTACCTTTTGTATTGAAAGGGCAAGGCAAGTAAGCCCTTTCGCCAG